CCCCGTCCTCACCCCCACCCAGCCTCACCCCCTCTCCCGCCCGGGCTCCCCAGCCTCGGCCCCCCTCCCATCCTGTGATTCATGCTTTATTTTATCCTGAGGGGAGGAGGGTGATGATCTACATCTGCAGACACTCCCCGAGCCGGTGGGGGTGGGGACAGGAGCGTCCTGGAGAGGGGTCGCCCCCACACCTCACCCCGGGTCGGGTGGGGTGGGGCATCCCCCCACCTCTGGACACCTGGGGCCCGGAGCTGGCTCCCGTCCTCCGCAGGAGGTGGAGCCCGGAGAACCCCGCGTCTTCTCCCCACACCCAGGCTGCGGAGGGCCGGGGAGGGAGGGCGGGATCCCGGGAGGTGGGTTCCCCCCCCCCCCGGCTGGAGCCCTCCTCCCCCTGGGAGACCTGGCTCCGGACGAGGGGCAGTCTGAAAGGCCGGGGATCCCCGGGGAGACTCGGGTGCGGTGAGAGCGGATGGCCGGGAGGGGGAGGCAGAGACCTGGAGAGGAGGGGGAGGCGGGGAGGGGCGGGGAGAAGGGAGCAGGGGAGGGCAGGGGCGGGGAGGGAGGTGTGAGGAGGGGGGCTACGACACTCAGGAGAATGAGAAACCGAGGTAGAGAAGAGACAGAACTCAGAGGCAGAGGCTCAGGGATAGACACTGGAGAGAGTCACCAGGCAGGGAGGGGAGACAGACAGACAGAGACAGAAAGACAAGAGAAGAGAGAGACAGAGATAGAAAGAAACAGACAGGCACACACACACACACACCCAGAGTACCCAATGAAAGTTGGAGAACACAGACAAGAGGCCAGGAGTCTATAAAGAGCCACGTCTATAAATAGAGCTGTTCTTGCAGAGAGGAAGGTGACAAGACAGAGAGGACACCAATAGAGACCCAGAAAGAGAAGAGAGGCCGGGAATCAGATCAGGTGACTTGAAGGGAAAGTCCAGAAAGGAATCAGAGACAGACTTTCCTGCAGAGATGGACACAAATGATAGGGCCACACTTGGTGGAGCATACCTGTAATCCCAGCACTTGGGAAGTGGAGGGAGGTGGAACATCACATTTCAGGCATGGCAAGACCCGGTCTCAAAAACAAAGACACAAAGCTGGGCACCTACGGCTCACACCTGTCATCCTAGCTAGTCAGGAGCCTGAGAGCTGAGGATCCTGATTCAAAGCCAGCCAGGACAGGAAAGTCCGTAAGATTCTTATCTCCAGTGAACCACCAGAAAACCAAAAGTGGTGCTGTGGCTCAAAGTGGTAGAGTGCTCGCCTTGAGCAAAAGAACTCAAAGACAGCACCCAGGCCTTGAGTTCAAATCTCATGACAAAAAAAAAAAAATCACTACCACCACCAACAAAACCCAAAACTAAAAATGAAGAGGTGGAATAGAAATGGAGGGTGACTCACAGAACCCGGGAAGGCATATAAAAGTTATCTCCTGTTGCATACATAACACATTTATCCTAGCACTTGGTTTCTTTAAAGGACAAACATTTATTGTCTCTCGGTAACAGGGGTTCAGGATTGGTGAGTGGCTGAACTTAGGGGTGGGAGAGGTGGAGACGGGACAGGGAGGTGGTGTCTGGCCTTTCAGGAAGGTTCCGAGCTTGGCCAGGATTTGAGTTATCTGTCTACCTGGTCTTCCCAAATCACCCCTCAGAAATGAGTCTCTTAGCCTAGTCACAGTCAAAGAAGCAAAACTTAGCTCCCATCCTGATGTCTGGAGCATGTGGGGACTTATTTTAGAGCCACCTACTAGAGAACAGGAAGAGAGAGACAGAGAGAGACCCACAGGAGAGGCTGGACCTGAGGTTCAAGTGGTATAGCCCTAATTGTGTGTGTGTGTGTGTGTGTTGGTCAGCTCTGGGCCTTGAACTCAGGGCCTAGGGCGCTGTCCCTCAGCTCTGTTGCTCAAAGCTAGTGCGCTACCACTTTGACCCTTAGCTCTACTTCTGGTTTTCTGGTGATTCATGGGAGATAAGTCTTTCTTTCCTGCCCTGGCTTGCTTTGAACCGTGATCCTCAGATCTCAGCCTTGTGTGTAGCTAGGATTATAGGCGTGAGCCACCAGTGTGTGGTAGCAACTCTCACCTTAACAGATGCAAAGCCCTGAGTTCAAAGACAGACTGTGTGAGGTCACCGAGATGCTCAGAAAACAAAGTAGTTCGGTCAGGTGTGGTGGTGCACACCTGTCCCCAGCTACACGAGAGGCAGAGATAGGAAGATGAAAGCCCAGTGCTTTCTTGAGAAAAAGCAGGAGACCCTACCAAAAATAAGCTACAAAGCTGGGTGCCCATGGCTCCTGTGCAATTCTAGCAACTCAGGAGATTAAGATCTGAGGACTGATGTTCAAAGCCAGTCAGGGCAGAAAAGCCCATGAGACACTTATTTCCAATTAACCACCAAAAAGCTGGAAGTGAGCTGTGGCTCAAGTGGTAGAGCAACAGCCTTGAGGGAAAAAGCTAAACAAGAACTTGCAGGGGCTGGGAAGGTGGCTCAGTGGTAGAGCGCTTGCCTTGCAAGCATGAGACCCTGGGTTCGATTCCTCAGCACCACAGAAATAGAAAAAGCCGGAAGTGGTGCTGTGGCTCAAGTGGTAGAGCGCTAACCTTGAGCTGAAGAGCTTGGGGACAGCACCCAGGCCCAGAGTTCAGACCGACCCCACGACCAACCAAAAAAAAAAAGAACTTGCAGCCCTGAGTTCACACTCCAGTTCCAGCACAAAGAAGAGGAGGGAGACAGGAGGTCAACAAGTTTCTTCACCTCCAAGGTAGATGAGGGACTTCTCTGTGCTTCCTCCATAAACTGAGCCACTTTGAGGGTAATAATTACCCACAATCACTCCCATTTAACAATGATAATGGGGCTGACTGTGCTCCTCCCCAGCTCACCAACTTTCCAAGGCCCTCCAGTCCCCACAGGGCAAGAAATCCCAGGCTGAAAACCAGGCCTTAGAGGTACCACGTCTTGTCTGCTTCCCCCATCCCTTCTTTCTTTCTCTCCCTCCTCTTTTGACCCTTCTTCCCTTCCCCTTCCTCCCTTTCTCTCTCTCCCCATTTCTGACAAGGTCCTGTTATGTAGCCCAGACTTACCTTGAACTCATGATCCTCCTGCTTCAATTTCCAGAGTTGGGGAACGGTAATTACAGGTTCACCACAATGCCCATCATATCTCTCCTTTCTTACTACACCACGCCTTCTGGGATTAACTAGTGCCTCTATTTGGGGCTCCCTCCCCCACTTTTCTGCTGGACACATTCCTACTCAAATATGCATATGTTTCAGGAGACCTCCCCTCCGGGAAGCCATTTGGCTTCCACCATGAGGTGGAAAAGCCCTCTTCTGAGCTCAGACAGCCACCTGGGCCACCTCCATTATGGAGCCCCAATGTACTGGGCTCTGTGCCCAGAGGAGAAAGGGGCGGAGGTGGGCCCAGATGTAGATTTCATGCCTATTGGTCTCGGGTGCTGGGAACAAAGTTTGGGTCATAAGGAACATATGGGGTTTGCCCTGCTCCAGCTTTCATCTCCCTCCTCCCCAGCTTCTGGGTTGGAGGCCGCAGTGCCAGGGCTCTGCAGCCCTGAGGGTTCTCACAAGCCCATTCTCCCTGCCCTCAACTTCTTTGCTGGAGGGCGTGGTCTCTGGGTGTTTAACTCCTAGGGGTGTGGCCTAACAAACTCACAAGGCCCCTACTGTGTGCCTGACACTGTGCTAAACTCATCCTGTAAACTCATCTCATCCCCCAAATGGCACCCTGTTGATTATTGCTTATGATGGCCACCCTCCCCACTTTATACTAAGGGGCACAAGGTGGATTCGAATCTAGGTGGTATGGCTCCAGATCACAGTCTCCAAGAGCACAACACACAGCCACTTAAAATGTGTCCAATTTGTGCAGGAGTGATTTGTGATTCCTTTTCCAGTGCTGTGGCTTTACCTACATGCTTAGAGCGTCTACACAGGCACTCTATCTCAGAACTACATCCCCAGCTGAATTTTTAAGTTTGCATTTCCCGCCCATTTTAATTATATCAGGACTCTCTTGGCTACTCTTTTGAGGGGTAGCATTGCTCTAGAAAGTAAAGTTTGAAGGGGTTGGGAAGGTGGCTCAGTGGTAGAGCACTTGCCTTGCATGCTCGAGGCCCTGGGTTCGATTCCTCAGCACCACATAAGAAAAAAACCGGAAGTGGCGCTGTGGCTCAAGTGATAGAGTGCTAGCCTTGAGCTGAAGAGCCGAGGGATAGCGCCCAGGCTTAGAGTTCAGGCTCCACTACCGGACCCCCCAAAAAACAAAAAAGAAAGAAAGAAAGTAAAGTTTGAAGACTGGTCCTGTGGGGTGTGACCATTGCAGAGTCTCTGGGGCTCAGTTGTTTTCATGTACAGCTACTCTAAGATCCTGGGAAGGTGGCTCAGTGGTAGAGTGCTTGCCTCCCATGCATGAGGCCATGGGTTTGATTCCTCTGCACCACATAAACAGAAAAATCTGGAAGTGGCACTGTGGCTCAAGTGGTATGAGCCCTAGGCTTGAGCTGAAGAGCTGAGGGACAGTGCCCAGGCCCATAGTTCAAGCCCCATGATCAACCAAAAAAAAAAAGATCCTGGCCAAACACAAGCACCCTGACTTAATATGGAGCTCCCTGGGAGCCTGTTTCCTTCTTTGCTTCCTGTGGAAATAATATTGTTTCTCTAAGATTCCTTTAACATAACCCAGGGGTTATTGAAATTCGACATTGTAGTTGGTTGTAGATGCAGAAGCAACCTTCCTTTCCATAGGGTTTATTGCTTCCTGCCTTTTTGCCCAACCTCTCTGACCTGTAGGTGACCAATTGCTGGATAGGAACAGAATTCTTGTTAGCATCAAGTGGATGTCATATCACTCTGTGAGTTCCCAGTGAGCTATTTTCTTAGGAAAGGGTCTATGTAGGCTGCCTGTCAGGATCAGCGCCTTCTCTAGATATTCACAAGCCTCTTTATTCCGTCCTTAGAGATTATGCTGAGGCTTATCAGAACATTCCAAAATCTGGAACTTTCTAGAAACACAAAACTGCTGAACTTTTCTTTGTTAAATTTCCCTCCTTTTCCAGCCACACACCTCCTTCTGTCTTTTGGCCAATCACCAAGCGGCAAATCTGACTGGTACCCAGTGACGCCATAGGGGTTCTTTCACCTGATTGGCCAGCAATTACAACATCAGCCTGACAGTTTTATTCAAGGCCATCTCCATTTGCTCCCCAGAGACACTGCTAGCATGGATCAAGGATCTAACCCCCCACCTCCACCCCATTAAACTTCATTGTTGGGGTAATGGCTTGGCTCAAAAGTAGACTATGAAGGGTGACTGGGCCCAGAAGTCCAGCTTGAAGCACCTTTTGTTCCACAGCCCAGCCCCCGAGCTGGCGCATGCCGAGTGACGTCAGGAGCTCCACGCCTTCCCATTGGCTGCCTCACACGCTCTCGTCGAAGTCAACGGCGCGGCTGACCCGGCACTTCGAAGTTGCTCAGTTTTGGGGGCCCAGTTCGTGTTGAGACTTGGGGTTCGGGGTCGGAGGCCGCAAACCGAGGCAGCCACCGGCGCGCTCCTCCCGCTGCAGCCGCCGCAGCGGCCGGGCCCAGCGCGGTCTCCAGGGCAGGGCGAGGCCGCGGCGGTCGAGGACCAGGCGCGCGGGGTCGGGGCCTCCCGCCGCCGCGCCGCCCAGCAGCAGGTAGTCGGTGCCTGGCCGCAGGCGCAAGCAGCCGCAGGCCAAGTCGGCGCGGGGCACCCACGCCTCCTGGCTGCCAGGGCGCACCGGCCGTGCCTGCTGCTTATACACGGTCAGCACACGGACGGCCAGCCGCCGCCACGCCGAGCCCACCACCGCCTCCTCCGCCGCCAGCACCTGTGCGCGCACAACTGGGGGGAGGGGGAGGCGTCAGGCCTGGCGGTGAGGCCTTCAGGTACCTCGGGGTGGCTTCCTTGTGAGGGTTGGGGACCAGTGGATGGCCTACCCAGGGGTGGTGGGGTCGTGTTAGAAAGGTGAGAGACCTTGAACCCGTGAGGGTGAGGGGACCGGAAGTGTGGCCCTGAGACACGAGGGCTGCGGGAGCCAGGATTAGAAGGGCAAGGTGTATGGTTTTTGTCTTGGGGTTCCAGGATCATGATTGGGAAGGGCCACACGGGGAGAGGGGCCTAGTGTAAATTGATGTGATTTGGAGAGGTCTTATTAGTGGTGACTGATAAAGGAATTAAAGGTGGGGGTGGGGGGAGGGGGTGTCCTAAGAAAGCCTAGCACCAGTGCTCCTTCCTGTAATCCTAGCTACTCAGGAGGCCAAGATCTGAGGATTACAGTTAGATGCCAGCCTTGACAGGAAAGTTTGTGAGATTCTTCAACAAACCAGCAAGAAGCCAGAGTAGAGCTGTGGCTCAATTGTAGAATACTAGTCTTGCATGAAAGAACTAAAGGATAGCACTTAGGCCTTGAGTTCAAGCCCTAGTAAGAGCACATATACTTTGTCTGTCTGTGTGGGAAAGTTTTTTTTTTTTTTTTTTTGGTCGTGGGCCTTGAACTCTGAGCCAGCGCTGTGCCTCAGCTCTTCAGCTCAAGACAAGCACTCTATCACCTGAGCCACAGACCACTTTTGGTTTTCTGGGGGGTTAATTGGACTTTCCTGCCTGGGCTGGCTTCAAACCATGATCCTCAGATCTCAGCTTCCTAAACAGCTAGGATTACAGGCGTAAGCCACAAGTACTGGGCTGGGAAAGGTTTTTAAGTACAGTAGGGTCAGAGCATATCAGGAGTGGAGAGTGAGAGAGTATTGCCAAAAGGGCTCAGATGAGTTTAGGGACCAGAAGGATGAGATTAGTCCTTGGAACTTGGTTGAGGTCACTGGTTGTAATTCAGAAAGGGGTACTCTCTGAGGGTGAGGTCAGGCAGTGTTGGGAGCTGGACTCTGGCTAGAAGCTGGGTCTCAGCTAAGAAGACTGTGTGGGAGGTAGAGAACACATGGGAAGAAAAGACACAAGAAAGTGGTGAATGGCCCTTTCGCCATTTGTCTTCTGTCTTCCATCTACACTCCTTTAGAATCTTGCACCCCTTCCCACTTAACATAAGAAGATAAGCTGGCATGGTGGTGCACCAGTATAATCCCAGCCACTCAGGGAGGAGAGATGGGGAGGATCTTGGTTCTGCCACAGCCTGGGCAAAATGTTAGTGAGACCCTTATATCCCCCAATAGGCTGGACATTGGCGTGTGCCTCTGAGTCCCAAGAACATGGGAGGTGTAAATAGGCATATTGTGGGTCTAAAGCACTCAAGTAAAAACACATGACCCTAAAGCAAAAAAGGATCGGAGATGTGGCTCAAGTGGTAAGAGTGCCTGCCCAGCAAATACAAGACCTTGAGTTCAAATGCTAGTACCAGGCAAGGAAGGAAAGGAAGGGAGGGAGGGATAGAGGAACAAACTGACAGGCCAACCAGTAACTCTGAACAGCCCAGGGTCACCTCCCTTCCCCTCCCCCCTTCACTCACCATACTCCTGCTGGCAGTATCTCTGAAGGCTCATGTGCACTCTGGTGTCTGAGACATTGCAGTAGTTTTGACACTGAGGGTCTGTGGTGGGTGAGGGGGGTTCAGAACATCTGCAATGTGCCCCTGGAGCCTGAACCATGTGTTCCACCCTCTCTCTGCCTCCATAGGTATCTGGGGATGCCCATAACCTTTGACCCAGGCAGTCCATCTCCATTTCCTCATGCTGCCCAGGAAGCTCTGTCTAGCCTCTTACCAGAGCTGGAAGCCCTAGGGGTGGTGGCGAGGGTGGTAGTTGCTTCTGGAATACCTGTGAGTCCAAATGAGAAACTGAGTCTCACCCTGTCATCCAGCCCCCACCCCGCATGCAGAATCCAGATGTCCCGGCTCCCATGTGCCAGAGTCCCTTGCCACCCTCTCCCAGGACCGCTCCCCTCCTCCTCCCAAGGCTGTGGGGTCTGGAATGTCTCCTTCCTTCCCCCCTCCGAGAGCTGCACCCCGCGTGGGGACTCACGCTGGCAGGGCATCCTCGGGGAGCGGCTCTGCTGGTAGCCAGGGCCACAGCGGTTGCACGTCAGGCCTGTGACCCCTAACTTGCAGGAGCACTGCCCGCTGGTCTGGTTGCAGGTGCCTCCCGTTGCCCCAATAGGGTGGCACTGACAGGCTAGGCAGGGTGAGGATCAGGGTGTCGAAAAGCTGGGATCCAGAGGTGCCCTACTAAATGTGTACCCCCTCCTTCAGACCCAGGGGGTCCAGGCTCAGCCCTCCCCCCTCAGACCCTGGAGTCTCTACCAGGTCTTCCCCTTTGGTCTAGCCTAAGGCGACACTCACCCCTGCAGGCCTTGCGGCTGGTGATGCTTTGGCTAGGGTCCCTCCAGAAGCCTGGCCGGCAGTAGTGGCAGTGTCTCCCGGCTGTGTGGTGGCGGCAGCGCTCACACACGCCCCCACTTCGGCCTCCCGACAGCCTGAACAGCTCCGCGTTGAACCGGCAGCGGCGGGCATGCTGGTTGCAGGAGCAGGCTGGGAGGGAAGGGGAACACGTCAGGGCCAGGACTCAGTCCCCTATGCCCCAGCCTCCTCTCCTGTCCTGCCCTCAGGGCCAGGCGGCTCCAGACCACCCACATTGTCCTCTTAACATGGATACATTGAACAGGAGCTGGTGGCTCATGCCTGTCATCCTAGCTACTCAGGAGGCTGAGATCTGAGGATCGCAGTTCAAAGCCAGACCAGGCAGGAAAGTCCATGAGGCTCTTATCTCCAGTAAACCACCAGAAAAAAACAGAAGTGGTGCTGTGGCTTGAGTGGTAGAGCGCTTGCCTTGAGCTGAAGAGCTGAGGAGTAGCGCACAGGCCAAGAGTTCAAGCCCCACAACTGATAAAAAAAAAAAAAAAAACCAAACAACTATGGGTACATTGGAGAGGAGTTGGTGAGCGTGTGTGTGTGTTGGGGGGGGGGAGTGCCATGGGCTTCCCCCTGCAGCCCTGGTGTGTTATGATGGGGTACACTGAGGGAATGGGGATTGCCTTGCCTCCCTGACCTCCTCAGCCTGGCACTGCACTTCTATGGAGGTGCCAGTGAGGTGCAGAAGATACAAAGTGCCTGCTGTGCACTGGGCACCCACATCAGCTTGGCACCAAGTGGGTGGTGGGCCCTGCAGTGCACCAGGTACAGCGCAGGCTCAGTGTGGCTCTGGGACGCTGCCCCCACCCCCCTCCCATCCTCACTTTCCAGCTGGGGCAGGGAGGTGCAGTGGGCAGGAGTTGAAGGCAGGACTAGAACCCAGCCTCCTGACTCCTGCTTTCCGGGAGCACAGGGGTATGGTACAGTTTCCTGGGACAGCGATTAGGTTCCCAGAGACAGTGACTCTCAGCCCTCACTATCCAGATAACCCCCAGGGAAATCATTTCTAAAAATTAGCCAGGTATGGCAGCGGTACATGCCTGTAATCCCAGCTACTTGAGAGGGAGAGGCACACAGATCTTGAGTTTAAGGCCAACCTGGGTGGTTTAGTGAGTCTTTGTCTCCAACAGAAAATAGGAGACCATAGGCTAGTGGCTCACACTTGTAATCCTAGCTACCCAGGAGGCTGAGATCTGAGGATCAAAGTGCAAAGCCAGCGTGGGCAGGAACGTCTGTGAGCCTCTTTATTTATTTTTTTGGGGTCTGGTCGTGGGGCCTGAACTCTGGGCCTGGGCGCTGTCCCTCAGCTCTTCAGCTCAAGGCTAGCGCTCTACCACTTGAGCCACAGCGCCACTTCCGGCTTTTTTTTTTGCTTATGTGGTGCTGAGGAATCGAACCCAGGGCTTCATGCATGCAAGGCAAGCGCTCTACCACTGAGCCACCTTCCCAGCCCGGTCCGTGAGCCTCTTATCTCCAGTGAACCACCAGAAAATCAGAAGTGACGCTGTGGCTCAAAGTTAGTGCACTATCACTTTGTGGCTCAAAGTGGTAGAGCACTAACTTTGAGCACAAAAGCTCAGGGATAGTGTCCAGGCCCTGAGTTCAAGCCCCACAAACACCACCAGCAACAACAACAAAAAGAAAATAGAAACAAAAGAGCTGGAGACATGATTCAAATAGTAGAGTGCTTGCCTCATATGTGCAAGGCCCTAGGGTCAATCCCCAGAACCACAAAGACACACACACACACACACAAATACACATGGCCAGCGAGTGACTGATCGTGTGAGCGGTGCTGACAGCTGGATTGTCAGGGCCTTGGGAGCCTAGAGGACTTGTGGGATGGATAGATGGATGGGGTGCTGAGACAGCTCCCCCTCTCCAGGCCTCCCCTTGCTGGCTAACCACGGGAACCCCTCTGGTGGGGCTCAGGTGTGCATTAGCAGTGGTGTGCTGTTCTGTTATTGGCGCATGGAGGCTGGCACAGGATCCTTTCTGACCCAAACGTTAATTACTTCCCCTCACTGCTTTGCAACACTGCTGGGGGAGGAAGCAATGAGACCCCCATGTGTGTCCCATCTACCCCCCCCTCCTTCAGCCTACACTGTGGGTCTCTCCCCCTGGTCTGCAGGGCGCAGTCCCAATCAGAGTGGCAGCAGCAATCCTCAGAGGGACAGTGGCCAAGAATGGAGCCCACCCCAGCCTCCAGACATGTGAGTCCCCTCTCTCTGAAGGTGGGGATGACCTTCCTGAATGGAGGCCCTGGGGTGACGGGGCAGGAGGCGGAGGATCAGAACATGGTGGCTTGGGGAGACTGAGGGCACCATGTTAGAATGAAGGCAACAATGGGCACTGGTGGCTCACGCCTGTCATCCTAGCTACTCAGGAGGCTGAGATCTAAGGATCATGGTTCAAAGCCAACCAGGGCAAGAAAGTCCATGAGACTCTCATCTCTAATGAACCACCTGAAAACCAGAAGTGGCACTGTGGCTCAAGTTGTGGAGCACTAGCCTTGAGCTGAAGAGCTGAGAAATAGCGCCCAGGCCCAGAGTTCAAGCCCCATGACCAACCACCCTCCTCCCCCACACAAAATGTAGGCAAGGAAGACCTGGGAATATGCATGCGCCCATGTGTGTGTGTGTGTGTGTGTGTGTGTGTTGCACAGATGCCTGAGCGCCCATCCAGCACAGGTGGCCTGCAAGGAGCTGACAGGCTAGAGAGGGAGGAGGGCACCCTGCACCCCTAGAGACAAGCCCAGGGCGGGGTGACTCACGCAGGCAGGGGTGGGGGTGCTGGGGTGTGGCCGGCCTCCAGGGCCGGTCCCGATGGGAAGGGCGGCAGCTCTCGCATCCGGGGCCCGCGGTGTGGTGGCGGCAGCGGCAGCGAGGGGGCCGGGCGCGGGCAGCACAGCGGGCAGCGTGGCCGTGGCACTGGCAGCGGCCTCGCACCCCAGCAGCTGCCAGCCCTGCCCGGCCCCCAAACTCTACGCGGAGGTATCTGGCCGCCAGCCTGGCCTTCTGGCCGGGTGGGGAGCGGAAGGCCACCCTCTCAGGCCCCCCCAGGGCCCCTGGCCAGGGGGGCCTGCGCCACAGGGGCCTCCAGGGGCCGCCCAAGGCCCAGGCAGCAGACAGGATGAGGGCTGGGGGTCCTGGGGTGCAGAAGCGCAAGCTGACCGCCGTCAGGAGGAAGGGGCCATCCAGGTCCAGGGTCAGGCTACCGTTGCAGGGGGCACCAGGGCCGTCCCCCGCGGGGAGGGCACAGGCCTGGGGACACGCAGGCGAGCTGCCCCTGGCCAACTGTGTCACAGGCGGGAGGCAGAAGCGAGCGCGGCCCCCGGGATCATAGCAAGGGTCCAGGTCAGAGGTGGCCAGGCTCAGGAGCAGCAGGAGGGCAAAGGTCACAGACATGGTCCCAGCAGAGCCAGCACCTGTAGAGGAGGGGTGGCTGGGTGGGCTGGGGGCCTGAGGCTCCCTGCTGTGCCCCTGGCCCAGCCCCGCCCTCCCTCAGCCCTTCCCGGCTCCCTTGAAGCGAGGAAAATAGTTCCATCTGGGGAGAATTACTGTTTACATAACCCAAAGGGGAAAGAACGCAAGCAAAATTGAGAATTTTGCCTGAACTAATCCAGAGCTTAACACCCCAGAGTTATCCATCAGCATTGAGGGGCAGGGGCCCCAGGGATGGGGCGGGGAGAGGGGGGGGACAGAGGGAGCAAAGCAACCAGATGTGGAGACCTAGAGAGGGACAAGGGAAAGACGGGAACAGGGCTGGGCAGGGGACTAGAGATGAGGACTCCGTACCAGGGACGGCAAAGACAGGAGGATCAGGAATGAATGGGCAGGGAAACCGGGACAGATGTGGAGGTTGGGGGCTGGACGGGGCGGGGGTGGGGGGAAGCGAGCCAGCCTGGCCAGGCACCCAGAGTCCACAGGAAGCTGTAGATCCTGGGGGCCCAAAGGGACAAGCAGATGGGCAGACCCCAAGGGCAGTAGCAGCCATAGGCTGCGGGACATCAAGAGCGGAGGCCAAGCCCCCGGCCCACGGAGATCAGAGAGGAGGCCTTTCCCACGTGGGGCCTAACCTTGTTCTCCACACCCTGGGCACGGAGGAGGATTATTACCCAACAGCCCCAGCCTCCCTGCCACCCACCCCAGCCTCCATTTAACCCTTTCCCGCCCAGGGGCAGAGGCAGCAGCCAGCACCAAGGAAAGGACAAGGATCTGGGGGCCCGAAGCTGGAGGCACTCCAGCGCTGGGCGGTGGAGCTCCACAGGCAGAGCTCAGAGCTGGGGGACCCTCCAGTTAGGCTTCTGGCACTTTCTGACTCAGTTCCCACCTGTCACCCAGGCCCTGAGCCTGGGGATCCAGGTCTCCACAGGTCCTCTGAGCAGATGGGCGAGCAGATGGTGGGGAAAGCTGGAGAGTAGCCCCAGGGGACAGACATGCAGACCCCAGGGGGGATAGCAAGAGCCCAGAAGGATCCAGCCCCCAATCTTCCCTCCCAGGCCACACTGGGGCCTGGGGAATCTCTGGGCCGTTCTGGGTCCGAATTTGCACCCAGGCTGCTGGTTGGGGTCCCTGTCACATGCTGGCTGCCCCCAGACCATGGGCCTGGTGCCATCTTGTGCCTGGGGTGGCCTGGACCCTACCCCCACCCTCAGCCCAGCCTTGTTACGGCTCTAGCTTCCCCCCAAAAAAAGAGCACATGGCTCTTACTGGGTAGTTGGGGCACCCCACCTTCTGGCCCTTAGCACCTCAGGAAACAAGGCTGAGTAGCTTGGTGCTCTGGGGTAGGGGGGGTCCCCAAAACAACCCTGCCACTTCCCAGCTACTGCCCCTGTGGCCACCCAGGTCCCAAGAGTGGGCCAGCCACTGGCCTCTCCTGGGTGAGGGAGTCTCCATACTCATGGCATGCACCCCCTCCCTACATCTCCCCCTGTTTGTTGGCCAAACCTGTTCTGAGGAGAGGAGAGAAGAACAGAGCATTCGCAGTCATCCAGGAACGGGAGCGGCAGCCGCCCGCAGTGGGCGCTGGCTCGGTGGGCTGGGGGTGGGGGGGAAGGGAGCCTGGCTGTTCCCTGGCCCAGGCTAGTGGGGGGTTCTGGGCGTGAGCTGAGAGCAGAGCCCTCAGAATCCAACACCACCGCCCCCCTCCCCAGGCCCCTCACCAACGCGGCCACACTCTCCACACAGGGATCCCTGCCAGCCCCGCCACCCGAGACGGTGTGGTACGTGATCACCGTGGCCCGGCGCGGGCCCTCGCGAGCAGGCTGGCCCAGGAGGCTCCGGGCAGGTAGGAGGGGCGGCTGCCAGGTGGGGGTCCTGGGTCTAGGCGGGTGTATGTGTCTCACTCCACCTCCGTGTGCCCATGCAGTGTGGTAGCTGGGCCCGTTGCGATCTTACTTGGGGTGAAGGTAGGCCTGCCCACTTGGGAGGTGCCCTTCTCACTGCCCTCCCCCCACCCACCGGCCCATCTTGGGCTGACCCCAGCCAGTCCTCCCAGGTCCCCCAGGAACCTTTGGTCCACATGGAGGTCAGTTGCTTTCAGACACTAAAAGCTCAGGAGACCCTGAGGCCCTGCGGAGGGCAGGGCCACCCCCACCCCTCCAGCTCTGGGACCCCAGGGAGCAGGCAGAGCTCAAAGCCCCCCCCCCAATGCCCAGGGCTGAGTCCCCATGCAAACACTGAGTCTTCCTGTCCCCGCTCCCCCATGGAGGTGGGCAGAGCCAGGGCAGGTCACAGGGTCTATGGCTATTTGGCTTGGAGGGACTCCATCCCCTCCCAGGCTGGTCTGGAGGGGCACACACTACTGGGGTTCAGAGACCTGTGGATTTTGTTCAGGGGAACCCTCAGGTGCCAACATCCACTGGATTCCAGAAGCTGGGAAGTTAGCTGCCGGAGAAAGGGTGTGGTGTCCGAGAGACCCCCCCCTCCCCCACACACCTCAGAGGGACGAGGGGTGTGTGTGAATGACAGAGTGACATCCTGGGAGATTTGGGGCACTGGTGGATCCAGCGGGGGGGGGGGAGGCAGGCGGCACCCCACCCCATCCCTACCCCGCCCGTCAGGCTGCCTTCCACAGACAAAAGGCAGCAGGCAGATCCAGCCTCGAGGCTGCTTAGAAGGTATCAGGCTCTTGGAGACAGGAATGGGGGTGCAGTAGGTTACAGTGGGGGAGCAAGGAGGGGATGGGGGAAGGTGTGGATACCCTCACAGACTCAGGCAGCAGCCTCCAGGCCGATGCAACACAGTTTGAAGACTGGTTTCTGCTGCTAGGGAAAATCCAGGAGGAAGAGGAGGGTTTCCGCAATGGTTTCCTTTTGCCTGATTGGCAGGACAAGGGGCCCCTAAATTCTTGTCCCCTGGAGGGACCTTGCTGTGTTCTGAATAGGAGAAGAGCCTCAGCGATTAGCAGCCTTGAGGCAGGCACCCCAGGAGCTCAGGATGAGCCCCAGCCCGGGGTTGAGCCAGCCTGGGGGGGGGGGAGGTTGGGGGGGATGGGAAACGACCTGTTGGGAGTTTGGACAGTACTGGGGATGGGGATTGATTGCACTCCAGCCTTGTGCTCATTAGGTGGGGCTCCCCAGGCACTGGGACCTTCACCTTCCTAGAGTCAGCCCTCTGGTGGGGGGCCAGGGCTTCTGAGGGGGGCTGGGAGGATCTGCTCTTCCCTTAGAATGTACTGGAAGTCTGGTATGGTCTCCGGAGCTGTGGCTCTTGGCCTAAAACAAGTTGGGTTGGCTTCCTCCCGCACTCTCTTTCTCCCCTCCCTCCTTCTCTTTTCCCCCTTCTCCCCCCACCCCCCTTTCTGGAGATTGAATCCTGGACCTTGCACGTGCTAGGCAAGTATTCTACCATTTGAGCTCATTTTGTTTTTGTTTAGTTTGTTTGTGTTGCTTGCAGCTGGGACTCACTATCTGACGCTAGCTTTTACTCATTGGCTGGTGTTCTACCACCTGAGCCACACCTCCAACCCTTTATTTGTTTTTTGAGACAAGGTCTCACTAACTTTACCTAGGCTGACCTCAACTTTGAAATCCTCCTGCCTCCTGAGTGGCTGGGATTCCAGTGCCTTGTTTTCTCCATCTACTTGTTAAAAATGTACCTCCCCTCTCCCCCCCACCCCCTCCCCCTTCATGGGAGGGAGGTCACACAGGGACACGATGAGCTAGATGGACCCACAGGCTCTGATCTGAGTTCTGGGCCACATGCATTCCTGAAAAACTCAGGAGCACACTAGACACCATAGGACCCCATCATGAAGCCTGCTGCTGTGTCCCCAACAAAGCATGTGGGTGTCCTGCACATCAGCCCGGCCCAGCAGTGCCCCCTCCCTCAGTTGGGGCTGTGGTCCATGACCTGCCTTCAGTCCGGGCAGCCACCCTGCACCAGTGCCCCTGGCCAAGCGGCCTTTGCCTCCTGCGCTCCGCTGGGCTTTCTCGTTGTTGAAAGGGCCACCAGAGGGCACACATGAGATTCCCAGAGCGGTGACAACTCTGGGGATCCATGCTCAGCTCTCAGCCAGGCGCAGTGCACAGGATGCAACACTTTTACCGTATTTGGTTAATACGCAGGATTGGGCCTGCGCAGATCAAGGGACCACATGGCCTTGAACCCATCCCACCCCCTGAAGACATGCAACCCCACTTCAGAGGGCAGATTGAGGCACAGCTGTTGGAGTACCAACCCTTCTGACCACACAGCCTGGGCTCTGGGCCTCCTCCATGCTGTGCCCACTTAAAAAAGACAAGAAGCCAGGCACCAGTGGCTCACACCTGTAATCCCAGCTACTAAGGAGGCTGAGATATGAAGATCACAGTTCAAAGCCAGCCTGGGCAGGAAAGTCCGTGAGACTCTGATCTCCAGTAAACCACCAGAAAACCGGAAGTGGTGCTGTGGCTCAAGTGGTAGAGCACTGGCCTTGGGCTGAAGAGCTGAGGGACAGTGCCCAGGCCCAGAGTTCAAGCCCCACGACCGACAAAAAAAAAAAAGAAAAAAAAAGGGAGTGTTGAGAACTTTTTGCCAGGGTGGCCTCAAACCTTAATTCTTCCATTTAATGCAACCCTAACACAGTTGTTCTTAGTTGGGCCATAGAGGTGGCTGGTTGTAGGTCAAATACAGTCAACATGCCATTTTCAAAGATGTAGCCCAAGCATGCCTTTGAATAGATTCAGAGTGGTACACATATCACACAGCACTGCGAGTGTTTAGGGGTCCCCCAGAACCCCTGTGGTCTTCAGGCTGTCCCTGGATGGGTGGATGGACTGAGCACTTGAATTTTGAGGCAGTGAGTGATGGAGACTCAGCCCCCAGCCTTGTGATTCACCCACATCCTCTCTCCTCCTGCAGCCACCAACAGATGCCGAGCCTCCTGCCCGTCCCTCGCCACATTATTTCTTCTTTTCATCATCTTTGCGGTGTCCGGCATCTTCCACTGCCACCGGCGCCTGGCTCTGGTGCCCGGGCCCTGGGCCTACTCAGCCCGTGTAGTCTTGGTCCCCAAACATCTTCCCCAGGGGGGAATGTTCACCATCAACTCCAAAGGCCGCTTGGGGAACCAGATGGGTGAGTACGCCACGCTCTATGCCCTGGCCAAGATGAACGGGCGCCCGGCCTTCATCCCTGCCGCCATGCACAGCATGCTGGCCCCCATCTTCAGGATCAGCCTCCCGGTGCTGCACAGCATCACGGAACGCAGGGTCCCTTGGCGCCACTACCACCTCAACGACTGGATGGAAGAGCGTCACCTGCACATCACCAGCCGCTACGTGCGCTTCATGGGTTACCCCAGCTCCTGGACTTTCTACCACCACCTGCGCCCCGAGATCCTGCAGGAGTTCAGCTTGCACAAGCACGTGCGTGAGGAGGCCCAGGGCTTCCTGCGGGGCCTGCGTGTGAACGGGAGCCAGCCCCGCACCTTTGTAGGGGTGCACGTGCGCCGGGGAGACTATGTGCACGTCATGCCCAGAGTGTGGAAGGGGGTGGTGGCCGATCGGGGCTACCTGCAGCAGGCCATGGATCGGTTCCGGGCTCGCTATGAGTCCCCGGTGTTCGTGGTGACCAGCGACGACATGGTGTGGTGCAGGAAGAACATGGAGGCGGCCCGTGGGGACGTGGTGTTTGCCGGCAATGGCATGGAGGGCTCCCCGGGCAAGGACTTCGCCCGGCTCACCCAGTGCAACCACACCATCATCACTGTGGGCACCTTCGGCTTCTGGGCGGCCTACCTGACCGGGGGGGACACCGTCTACCTGGCCAACTTCACCCTGCCCAGCTCCCCCTTCCACGTCATCTTCAAGCCACAAGCGGCCTTCCTGCCTGAGTGGGTGGGCATCGCTGCGGACCTCAGACAGGCCCCACACATAGAACCGTAGCCCCTGGCCTGTCCTTCGCGCCCCCCCCCGCCCCCTCCACCAACTCTGGGCCCTAGGGACCAGGGTGTGATCTCAGGATGCCACGTGGGTCCTTTTGGGTCTTTCTTTTTTGGTGGTACTGGGGTTTGAACTGAGGGCCTCGCTCCCACCAGGCAAGTCCTCTTACCACCGTGCCACTTTGGGCTTGAGTTTGTTCTGGGTAGGATGCTGAGCTTTTTCGTTCAGGCTGGCCTCAGACCACAGTCCTCCTACCTCATCCTCCCCGGTTGCCAGGATTACAAGTGACCCTCACTAAACCTGGCCCCCTCGGTGTGAAATGGGAATCTTTGAATTGGAAGTCTGGTCTGCTTTGGAGCTGAGGGAAGGTGGCTTCACCTCTCTGTGACCCCCCCCCTACCCCATAAATGTATGCAGAACTCAGCAACAGTGTGTGTGAATGGGGGCGTCCTGGGGAGCCTACACCCTGGAGTGCTCTTGTGGAAGAGAATCTTGGCTCTGTCATGCCTCACAGCTCCCAGGTTCTGCATAGATCCCGGATCCAGACAGGTGTCCAGGAGCCCTATCCCACAGGGCCTCCCAGGGGGCTGCAGGGACAGAGTCCGGCCCAGCAGTCCTGACTAGAGTGCCTCCCCCCCACTGCCATTGCTTGGGGACACCCCCATGTGGGCTGTGCTACAACACCACAGAGGGGAGAGGGGCAGTCAGGGCCTGCTGTAAAGCTGGGATTACAAGCTTACAGAACCCTATCCAGCTCATTCTTTGAGATAGTGATTTTTTTGGGGGGGGTGGCCTGGGCTGGCTATGAACCCCCAGCATGCTCTTGCTCTGGCCCATCCAGCTCTCTTCTCCAACTTTCTCTGCCCAGGAGGCTGAGCCAGGCTGTCAGGACATAGCTTCCTGGTGGGTCAAGGGAACCCAGTCCAGGAACTGAGGGGAGGGGGGAGGGGGTATTGAGCTTCCCAGGGATGCTACCATTTGAGCCACAGCACCACTTCTGGCTTTTTCTGTGTACGTGGTATTGAAGAATTGAACCCAGGGCTTCCTGCATGCTAAGCAAGCACTCTACCACTGAGCCACATTCCCAGCCTCCAACGAGACTCTAAATCTCCAATTAACCACTCAAAAACTGGAAGTGGACCTGTGGCTCAAAAGTGGTAGAGCAGTAGCCTTGAGCAAAAGAGCTCAAGGACAGCACCAAAATCTGAATTCAAGCCCCATGATGAACAATAGCAACAAAAAAATCCTTCCTGGGTTCCCATTGCAGGGTGTGTGTGTGTGTGTGTGTGTGTGTGTGTGTGTACACATGCGTGTGCATGTGCTGGTCCTGGGGCTTGAATTCAGGGCCTGGGTGCCGTCCATGAGCATTTTTTTTTGGGGGGGGTCCGGTTGTGGGGCTTGAACTCTGGGCCTGGGTGCTGTCCCTCAGCTCTTCAACTCAAGGCCAGCGCTCTACCACTTGAGCCACAGTGTCACTTCCGGCTCTTTTTTTGGGGGGGTCCGGTCGTGGGGCCTGAACTCTGGGCCTGGGCGCTGTCCCTCAGCTCTTCAGCTCAAGGCTAGTGCTCTACCACTTGAGCCACAGCGCCACTTGCGGCTTTTTTTCTTTTTGCTTATGTGGTGTTGAGGAATGGAACCCAGGGCCTCATGCATGAAAGGCAAGCGCTCTACCACTGAGCCACCTTCCCAGCCCCATGAGCATTTTTTCACTCAAGGCATAACTCTACTTTTGCCCTGATTCAAGTCTCATAGCCTCTCCAACTTAGGCTGGCTTTGAACTGTGATCCTTAGAACTCAGCCTCCTGAGTAGCCAGGATGACAGGAGTGGGCTCACATTGGCCTTGAACATAGGTCTCAAGCTGAATCCCCAGCCGGTCTGGTGGGAGACCTGGGGCCTCTCCCACCATGAGGCAGAGCTAGGGCCAGTCCTTGGCTAAGGCCAGTTCCTTGCCCTGGGCTTGAGGTCCCCAGGGACAGGGTCAAGGAAGATTCTGGAAGGCGTATCCCCACAGCCAGCTACCTGCAGTTCCCCTTGCAGAAGCCCCACCGGGAAGCAGCTGGTGGCAAGGTGCCACGCTGGCTCTGGAACTAGGCGGAGCCCTGTATGGTCACAAAAGGTGCCCAGCACTGCCCTGCATCCTCTGCACTGCTCCCACCAGGAAGTCAGAGTGAATGACACTCATTCACCACACAAATATTTACTCAGCTCTCCACCAGGCTCCAAAGCCAGGTCCTTAAGGACAGCCCTGCCCCTCAGCAGAAGGAAGGGAAAAGCCAGGTATGGCCAGAGATACGTGTGGTCCCTGTGTCCAGCATGGGCTTTCCCCTACCTGCTTATAGGGATTGGTGTGTGTGTGTGCGTGTGTGTGTGTGTGTGTGTGTGTGTGCACGCACACATACGGATGCTCACCCATCCGGGGGCTTGAACTCAGGATCTTGGCACTGTCCCCGAGTTTTTTCACTCAGGGCTTGATCCACAGCTCCACTTCCAGCCTTTTGCTGGTTAATTGGAGATAAGAGTCTCATGGAGGCGCTGGGAAGATGGCTCAGTGATAGACTGCTTGCCTTGCACGCATGAGGCCCTGGATTCGATTCTTGAGCACCACATAAGCAGAAAAATCCAGAAGTAGTGTTTTGGCTCAAGCTTATAATCCTACCTGTAGCTCTCAAGAGCTAGGATTATAGGGGTGTACCACCATACCTAACTGGAAACAGTGTTTAACATGTGCCAATTAGCTGGGTGCCAGTGACTCATACTCAAAATCATAGCTACTCAGGAGGTTGAGATCTGAGGATTGCAGTTTGAAGCCAGCCAGAGCAGAAAAGTCCATGAGCATCCTATCTACAATTAATTAAATACACAGAAAAAGCCAGAAGTGGTGCTGTGGCTCAAGTAGTAGAGTGCTAGCCTTGAGCAAAAGCAGCTCAGGGACAGTGCCCAGGCCCTGAGTTCAAGATCCAGGAATGGAGTGGCAAAAATAAATGAATAAAATAAATGGCAACCACTGAGCAGCAGAGAATTTCGAGGTGTAACTGCCCAGTGGCTTGAGGGCTGAGGCGCAGCTCAGTGGTAAAGCATGTGCTTTGCACATGCTTGAGTGATAACAACATTTATCTAGAAAGCAAGAGGCCCTGGCTTGTGATCCCACACCCACCAGCACCACCACCAACCAAAGCAGATTCAAGAATCAAGTATTCTGTTGACATTGGCCAAGGCCTGGGTTCCAGTCAGACTCTGAAATCAAACGATGACAAAAGCACACTGGGGAGAGTTAAGAAGGTGGGAACTGGAAGCTTCCGGATTTACATAGGTGTGGTCCAATGGCCCAGCCCAGCCTCTGATTCAGATTTTTCTTTTTTAAGTGTTGGGGAAATCCAAGGGACCCAGGGAGATGGGGAAGAGCTTTCTATCTGAAAGAATCTCACACCTGTCACCTGTCACCTGCATCTGAAGCGAACCCACCCAGCCAGTTCCAGTTGAGTCCAGCTGGAAATGGCCCTGTGAGTGTACACACCCCCTCTACCCCCTTGAACTTGACCCAGAAGAGGAGAAGGTCAGATCTGCACAGCAAGCTTCTTAATGTGGGGGTGAAGGTGGAGCTCATGAGATTTCCAGGCTCTAGATCAAATCTCCCTTCACTCCAGCCGTGCGAACACATCGATGCTAGGTCAGGTGGTAGAGATGGGGTCTCACGGACTTTCCTGCCCTGGCCGGCCTGGATCCCTGATCCTCAACATCTCAGCCTCCTTGGTAGTTGGGATGACAGACAGAGCCGCCACACATGGCTTCTCCCCTTCAGCGCATGTTCTACAACCTCTCATTCTTTTTTCCACTTGCTCTGCACATGGCCCTATCTTCTGGACTTGGCACTCCATCTTCCCCGGTGTCCATGCCCCGGCCACTTTGAGTCTCCAGGAATATTCCTTATTGACCTTGCCCTTGATTTTGTCCAGACACGCAGTGCTCTGGTTTAGGCCTGATGATTTCTGCTTGTGGATGCACACGTGACCTCCTGGGAGTATCTTCTAAAAGAAAGGAGGGCAGGGAAGGTGGCCCAGTGGTAGAGTGCTTGCCTTGCATGTATGAGGGGTTTGATTCCTCAGCACCACATAAGCACTTGAGCTGTGGCTCAAGTGGTAGAGCGCTCGCCTTGGGCTGAAGAGCTGAGGGACAGTGCCTAGACCCAGAGTTCAAGACCCACGACTGACACAACAAAATAAATGAAGGGCAACTGAGAAGATAAGACACTTGCTAGGTATTTGCTAAGACCCAGCTGCCTGGAGTGAAATCCCCATTAGCTTTCCTGCCTGTGTGCTCTTAGGTAAAAGCACCTTGACTTTTCTTGCCTAGGACATCCAGTGCCCAGAATGGTTGAGATTGGGAGGTGTTGGCAGAGGCGGATCATGTATGGATGTCTGTTAGAATACCCATGGGCAGGACTGTGCAGGCACTGGGTCCACTGAGCTCTGACTTACAGCTCAGCCACATCAGTTCCTGGCAAGCCAGGTACACCCTGGGCGGGGTTTTGTGGCCATAGACAAATTCAGGAAAAGCTCTGCAAGTTTCTCTGGCCCAGAATGAATAGCTGCCCAGGAAGGAGTGTGGAGCAGCTGGTAGAGCAGAAGCACCTTGTCATCCCCTCCTGGATTCCAGTCCCCAAACAGGTGAGGGATGGGCTGTGTGTGTGTGTGTGTGGATGGGTGTGTGTGTGGATGGGTGTGTGTGGGGGGGTGTTTCTCCAAATCCTGATGTGCATGTGCAGGAGGAAGAACCCACCAGGTGGGAGCCCAGGCATTAAGGAGACACATCTTGTGCTAGCAGGGGTATGTGTGCTGGTGAGGAGAATACAACTCATCCTCAGCTGGCTGCTGGGTGGGGGGTGGGGGGTTGTCTCCTGAACCCCAAGCCCAGCCCCCAGCTCCTTATCCTCCAGCACCTGGCCACCTGCCCAGCCCACTGCCCTGTGGGGCTCCCTCCACCCCACTTGTCCACCCAGCCATGG